GATGACAATTTTTCAGAAAAATTATCAAACTTTTTGCTATGGAGGGCATTTTCATACTTTTGTAAATTCTAAGCAATTTTAACTTTTAAGTTACAGCAAAAATATAAAACTAATAATAAATTCAAGAATACCACCATATACTGCACAAACGTATGTTTATGTTATGTACAAAATATACAGGGTTGTTAGGTGTTCGAAAAAATGCCGATAAAATAAAATAAAACAATATTATTATTAAGATATAAATAAACAAAACAACGGCAGTTAATTCCGGTAACACAACAGTCCAAATGGTCATTTTTATTATTTACATCTGATAATTTAAGAAAATTTCCTCTAACTGCTATAAAATGTTTTCGAATTTAAAAGTGTCTACTTGGATCACATCTTTGTTTACTGGTTGCGAACACTTTTCTGATAATTTTTCGTATGTTTTCCCGTTCAAAAGACAAATAATAACGACGGTCATGTTGTCACAACCAAGACCGGCCATCTGGCAATCGGGGGCCAAACAGTGCATCATTAATTTCTCGCAGATTTCCTCGGGCTCTAGACCGGCGGCGATATGTTGCCGCACAAATTGGACGACCTCAGCGTTGCACATCACATCCCAAATACCATCACATGCCAAAACTATAAATTCCCAGTCATCAGTTATTGTTCTCACCTCAACATCTGGATAGGCTGTAACAAAAAGAAAATAAATGTGTTATAAGGATTTATACAAAAAAATAGACTGGTGAGATCCTTGCACAAACATAAAATGGCTTGTAGGTGATGTATACCTGTAACTATTTGTTCTTCAGGTCCTTTTTCATCATTCCTTTTGAAAATGAAGTCCCCCAGAGCACGTGATAAAGCCAAATTGCCCATCACTCTGTTGCAATCTACATATCCACCTGCAGCTGTGATTCTTTCAAATTCTGTCTGAACCATTGGCTTGTGATCAAAAGAAAGAGGCTCAGCAACACCCTTTACACAAGCAACAGCTCTAGAATCTCCCACATTAGCACAAAATACCTTTCCATCTTTCACAACCATTGTTACTGCCGTTGTTCCAGCTTGCTCATTTTTGAGAGCTTCATCAGAGAACATTGTTTCATCAAGTTCTAAGAAAGCCTTCTTCATAGCTTCAACTACATTGCCTTCTTTGTACTCTGATCTTTTTGTGATAAATTTGTGAAGATGTTTGCCAGCATACTCTGCAACTTTGGCCCCTCCATGTCCATCATATACAGCAAAAAATGCAGTGCCAGGATCATCAGGAAGTGAAAGGATATGTGTGTGAGAGTCTTCCATGTTTACTCGCCATCCTTGCATACAGCTAGAGCCCACACGGAACATAGAATTCTCACAGCAAGCTGTGTCTTTAGCAGTTACTGGTTCTGATAATGTTTGTCCCATATTCCTGAAACTTTATACTAACTTAATAAACAAATCAACATGAAAGCAAAGAGAGACCTAAAGTACTTTAATTAATGTATGCTGTTCTATTAATAAGTTTTTATTACCTGGCCTTTTAATAATACTGTTGCGGAAATAACTCAAGGTTTACTAACTGAAAAAGGTACAATACTAGATAGCCTAAACTACTATCTAAAGCAATAGTTGAGAACAGAATTTCTACTTAAGCACAAATATACCAAAAAGGTTATTTTAGAAATACTACTAAATACGGCGTGTGAAGTATATTCAGGATATGACACACAACGTACTAAACATTCCTTTTCTGCAGTCTTTCTACAATCGACAAGGATTTTCTAAACATCCTTTACTATTAACAAAACCAAAATTTCAAAAACACAAAATTTTGTACATTACTTTCAAATTCTGTCGTTTTTTGATATTTATCTTGTTATTTAAAGAAGCATAACCATACTTACTATATTATGGTATTAAATACTCAAATACAAATTAAACGCCCTGTACTGGTACTTTTCTAAAAATTATGATACATCACTGGACGAATAATTATTTTTGGATTCATATTTTAAATTATTCACTAGTAATTTCTATCCCTATTACAATTACTAAACACTATCCTTAGAAAATGACTATTTTAAAGCTACCGTAAGAAAAAGGCTGTTTTAAATCAACTATTAAATATATTAACAATTCTAATGATTTAGTTTGCCTTAAAGGTAAATAATAGCTAAACATTATATTATTTACCTACTTGAAAAAGGCACTTAATAAATTGCTTCAAATAATTTTAATATAAAATATAATAGTTTAAAACAATTCACTTTTTGAAATTAAAAATGCAACTGAAGTCTTTTAATAGAAATTAAATTAGTACGCTTTTGGTATGTTTAGCCACTATTTTCTTGCCTTGCATGAAAACTATAGATAAGTTGTCTAATATTTCTATAGTCTTTTCTGGTATTGGCTAAGCTGAAAGATGGCGTCCGAGAAACCCGGGAGCATTGAACATGGTAAATATGTTTTAAAAATAATTTAAAAAGTATGATTCTGTTTAATTTCGTTATACTTTGGAATGGCAGTTTTATGGCATCTATTTCTAAAATATTGCTCCGTTTATTTCTACAAAAGTGCGGATTAATATTCTAATGGAGTTTTTTTTATGAATACAAGGTTAACACTTGTAATTTTGGGCTGTCAAAATAATTGATTTTTCCAGCAGATGATTCTGGTTTCGTGGCTCTTGAAGATAGTTTGTTGAGTATGGAGAATATTGACAGGGCTTCTCCAGATATATGGCCTGAGAAGAGTAAGGAATAACTTTGAAGTTGTCAAACTGACATCAAACTAAACTTTGATCTGTAGTTCCAGGTATGTCAGATTTTATGCACAGTTTTTCACCCCCTAATTCAACCAAGCCACCCTATTCAAAAACGTTTACCCCAGAAGATCAGAACTATCTCCTCCGTAAGTAATAAGTTTTAATTGTATGTAATAAGAAGATGCATTCTTTGTTTTTATAGAATTAGCATCTTTACCACTTGGTAATCTTATAGCAAAAGTGAAGGAATTACATGATGTTGCTTACCAGTTAGGGGTTGAAGAGGCTAAAGAAATGACAAGGGGCAAATATTTGAATTTATTTAATAGAAAGAAAAGGAATATTTAGTTATTTTAATTCAATTTATATCTGTGAGTAAANCAATCGAGCGGCATGACCTAGAGATTTAGATCATTGCTTAGCATTCGGGTGGACGCCGGTTTGATTCCGGGTCCGTCTGCCTTGGTCCAAGTTTTTCTGTGGTTTCCTTGGATCACTTAGGCAAATGCTGGGGGAGTAATATTCTATAGATAATCTTTCATTCTCCTCTGCCTTCATTTCGCCCGTCTCATATTTCTCACCCGAACCACCACCCACCCATTCCCACGATTCCTGAACGGAGGCTGAACAGGGTCTTCCGCCCTACTTTCTAGCGTAGTCCGGTGGGATTGCCCGCCCATCAGGCCTACTGGATGGTAGGAATAAAACACCCAAAAGTTTTTTTTTTCTTTCACAATCAGGTAAATTGTTATTAATTGGTTTTGCCCTGTTGAAACAATGATGGGTTAGGTTAGGTTACAGTAGTAACAGACAATCCGAACAATGTAAGTCTTGCTATTGTCGCGTTTTTTCTTTTATTGGTTGGTTTTTACTTACCTTTTCTTCAATTCTCTAAAATTATGCGAACAAATGCCTACATACATATGTACATATACTACGCTGAACTGTACAATATACAAAAAATAAGCAATTACCCAAAAATATTCCATCGAAAAGACACCCGCGAAAGCTCCAGTATTACTAAATTTTCAACTGAAAATTATCATTAAGTTTCACTGCAAGTGTTTTTATCTTATACGACGGATAATGCAATTCCCAGTAAGTAAATAAAGCAATTAAGTACTCAATTTATGATAAACATGGGTGTTATCATGTTATCAAGTGAAATGGGTAGGTGAGTCCCTCGAAGTAATGCAATTAGTTAAATGGTCTTGAAATTAAATGAATTTTGTATGCGTTATTGTACTTGAAACACGCCTTTTCTTCGATTCAGGTTAATTACAACTCGTTGAATTAGTTGCCGATTAGGTACGTTGGAACAGTCAGTTTTTTGTTTTATTTACACGTGAATCACCACGGATACCGTTTATTATGTGCCGGTTTTCTCGCAACAATCTCCAATGAGTACTTGAAGTCGGTTTTGTGTGCAACCATCCGGCAGAGTAGCATCGCAATTTTATTCGAGACAAGTTGCAAGAATCACTTTATACAACTTAAAATCGAACTGATCCAAAATGGGAGATGGGTAAGAATATTGAGACAGAAATTAAATTATTGTATCATTTAAATATTCCCGTAATATAAGACAGGGTCAACAATAGTTTCAATCTGTATTGATTGATGAAATATTGTGTCATAAATTTATTATATGACCTCAAATCTACTCGAGTTTAGCTTGCAATAAAAATAACTGGAATATGACATAATTTCGCTTTTTATTTAGTGTGAAATGTACAAGGCTACAATATATTAAATGCGAATGCATATCAATGCATAACAATGATTTTTTTTTGCAGTAGCATCAGTATTAACCAGAGAACTATTTTTCCTATATTTTCGTCGTTTTCAGATCGGTTACATGTGATTTTTGAAATCAAACATACTTTTCATCTAAAACGAATGATTTCGTGAATAGACGTTTGGGCTATTGAACTACGAATAGAACATTTTGTTCTTTTTCCGTTTCATTTTTCCAAATTCGACCCTTTTTATTCCAGCACCAAAGAAGCCACATACAATGAAGAAGACCAAGCTGTTAGGATATATTTGCGGGGTAGACCCATCGTTCTGTACGCACCATCCGAAATTGGAGAACATTACGATCTTACCAAAGTCGCCACAGCCCCACACCAAAAACCAAAACTGAATTGGGTTTATGGATACAGAGGAAGAGACTGTAGATCTAATTTGCACTTTTTGCCCACCGGAGAGATGGTGTATTTTGTGGCAGCAGTCGTCGTTCTTTATGATGCGGAAGAGCAAAATCAAAGGCACTACTTGGGTCATACGGACGACGTAAAAAGGTAAGGAACATTTTTGTTGACAGTTGAGAAGCATCTAACAGGCACATTTTTGGTTTTAGTTTAGCCATACATCCAAAAAAATTGTTAGTAGCCACCGGTCAGTGTGCAGGTCACGAAGGGAGAGTGAGTTTTGGTGCTTTGTCTATTTAGAAATGGTATGCTCAGAGTAAAAATTTTTTAGGCACATATTAGGGTTTGGAATTCAGTATCACTAACAACCGTTGCGGTTGTTGGAATGAATGACTTCGATGTTTCCGTTTGTTGTCTTTCCTTTAGCAAGTCAGACGGTGGATCGCTCCTTGTAGCGATCGACGAGGCTCCTGATCACACCATATCGGTTTGGGATTGGCAAAAAGGCGAAAATGGCTACAAAATAACCGAAACGAAGGTAATAGTTATGAAACCATATCCGTCACAATCTAAGATTATTATTTACCAATAAATTTTAGTGTTCTGTGGATACAGTGGTTGCAGCGGAGTTTCATCCACTGGACCGAAATACCATCGTGACCTGTGGCCGTTCCCATTTGGCTTTCTGGACCCTGGACGTTGGTGGCACCCTTTATAAGAGAATGGGCATATTCGAAAACAGGGACAAACCAAAATACGTCCTATGCATCTCTTTTATGCAAACTGGCGAAGTGATAACGGGAGATTCAAATGGAAATTTGATTGTTTGGGGAAGAGGAACAAATACCATAGTGAGAATAGTTAAAAATGTCCATGAGGGTTCTGTCTTTTCTATTTGCGTCTTGAGAGATGGCGGATTAATCACGGGTGGGGGGAGGGATGCAAGACTGGTCTTTTTTGATCCTGATCTGAATAAAAATGGAGACGTTTGTCAGGTAATTCATCCACCAAAATATTCTTGTTTCATTTTTGTTAACTTCCATTGAATTTCCGTTAAGATTGAAGAGCATTTTGGTGGGATTCGGATGATTTCTGAAGGAAGGGGGTCCCAGCTGCTCATAGGAACCACAAGAAACTGCATTTTGATGGGAAGTGCTGACTTGGGTTTCCAACCAATCGTCTTGGGACACACTGATGAACTTTGGGGGCTGGCGGCCCATCCCACAGTACCCCAGTTTGCTACTGCTGGACAAGATAAATTGCTTCAGATGTGGGATTCCATGTCTCACAGTATTTTGTGGAGCAAGGAAATCGATGTATGTTTTGCCCATTTTTATTTTGGCCTAACAACTTCCTTACTATGGTGTTCACGTCATTTTTCAGGAGGCTGCGCAAAGTTTAGCATTTTCTGCAGATGGAAACATAATATTGGTGGGTTGTATGTCTGGCAGTTGGTTTGTGTATGATTCACAAACGAGGGAATTGCTCAGTCATCACGTTGATGGCAACGAACCCATACAAGTCATTCGTTTTTCGCCGGATGGGGGTAATGTAGCATTAGGGTCCAGGGATAACCACATTTATATCTACGAAATTTCGGATGATGGTAGAAGATTTAGAAGAGTTGGTGTTTGCAGTGTAAGCACCTACTTATTTGGTTCTTGAAAACATTGGCATTGTTTTCTAATTGTCTATTATTATTTTGCAGGGCCATTCGAGTTTTATAACACATTTGGATTGGAGCTCAGACGGCCAATTCATTAGGAGTAATTCTGGTGATTATGAATTGCTTTTCTGTAAGTTACCATTAACTGATAAGTCTGACGAGATTTCATTCTTATTTTTTATTTCCATCTAGGGAACAGTGGCACTTGTAGACAGATAACTCAAAGTACTACTTTAAGGGATGTCGAATGGGCATCTAACACCTGTACATTGACTTTTACAACAATTGGTATATGGCCCGAAAATGCTGATGGTACAGACGTTAATTGCTGTGACAGAAATCAGGAAGGTAATCTGATGGTTACAGGGGATGATTTCGGAAAAATAAAGTTGTACACGTACCCCGTCACCCAACCAAAGGTATGCCACTTATTTCATTTCACAAGTTATTTAGGTACATAGGTACCTATAATTTTATTATACACAGTAGAAGGTAATTTGTACCCCTTTTTTTACTTTTTATATAAATGTAAATAAAAAGCATGATTACCATTCTTAGTTACCACAATAATTAGTTTTAAAACTCAAAAGCATCGTCTTATATCTTTTATTCCGTTTATTAGCAATCGTTTATGCTCCATGATAATTATTTCATTAATAACAATTAAAGTTTGGTGCATTAATAATGTTGTGTTTGTCTTATTATCGATTTAATTATCATTATGGAGTTCTGTTAGTGAATGTGAATGATCAAAGTTACCATTTTTGGTCACTCCAATAATCGTCTTAAACATGTGATTCCTTTTTCCACCAAATAATATTATTTAATTTTATGATGACGAATATTTCCTTACCATTATAACTAGAGTGAGTATAAGTACTTTTCTATTTGATTTTCTTGAAAAGGAAAAGAACTTTTATTATCGGAAATACATTGTGCAGTTGAATTTTGGGAAAAGTTGCCATTTTTTGCCACCGCACTAATGCAACTTCAAAAAGGAATTTATAATATGCACAAACTTTCTCATCATTATTAAATATAAACGCTATATTAATAGTAATTTCAATATTTATGACATTCCTTTACTTAGGTACCTACCAGAAATACTGATTAGGTACTTATTTTTTTAAAATTTCTTTGCAGAGCTTAAACAACCCCCATGGTGGCCATAGCAGTCATGTGACGAATGTATCGTTTCTTCATGACAACAGTAGGTTTGTTTCCACAGGTGGCAAAGATACAAGTGTCATGCAATGGGTCCTTGTCTAATTACGAAAAATTCAAATTTAAATTATACTACACACACCCACATACCAACACACTCACACACTTGATTTATTCTTCATGATAATTCGACACGTATGTAATACGAAGATATTATTTTTCTTTAAATACAATACACTTTTTCTTTTTTATATATTTTATAGCGTTTTTGGTGCAAAACTTCTTGTACCTATACTTGTTCAGCTCCAATAATTAAATAAGGAAGAAATCAACGATAATTTGGCA